CCCCCCCCCGAGCCCCCAGCCCCAAGGCAGCGGCCCCAGGTCTGGGCAGGGCAAGTCCCGGGCCATCCATCTCCCCCCGGCCCAGCCGGTGCCACGGTTGGAGCCGTGGGGTCACGCCCCAGGTCTCAGGGTGCGATGCTGCGTCCTCACAGCTCCCAGCACAACCCCAGCATCTCTGCTCCTCTCCCGCTGAGCGCCTGCCCCCGAGAGCAGCCCGGCTGGGCCCTGGCCCCATTCAGCACAGGGCCCAACCGCCTGGGCCTGGCGCCGGTGACCGGCAGAGCCCCCCGCTCCCATCCTCTGCCCGTGCAGGCTGCTGGCTGGCGGTCAGTGCCCCCTGCATGGCCTGGCAGCTGGAGCGTGCCCCCTGTGCCCACGGCCCCGAGTGCCAGGCACCCGGTCTGGGTGAGGTCCAGCTCTCTGGGGGCTGGGGGTTGACTTGGGGCTGTCCCCAGGGGTGTCTCCAGCGGGCCCACCGAGGTCGCCGGCTCCCATGCACCTCATCCCAGGCACCCAGCACGCACAGACACACACTGACAGTTCAAGTCTTTATTACATAGTGAAGGTACAGGACGGGACCACGGCTCAGATGGCCCCGTGCCCCCTCACGTGCCCTAGGGCTGCTGGGGAAACTGAGGCAGCGAGGGCTCCTGCTTTCCTCCCTGCACAGTGCAGGTGCCGAGGCCCCTGCTCCAGCCTGAGCCAGACAACGGCTCGGCGGGGTCCCAGATGCGTGCGCCCGTGGCTGCTCGTGCCCTGAGGCTGGAGCAGGCTGGGAACCCTCCCTCCCCCCAGGGCAGGTGGGGTGGCTGAGCAAGGCGCTCCTGCCCCACTTGGCTCTGTGTCCTGCCCCTGCCCGCCTCTGGGGTAACTCCCATCCGACCCCCTGGGCTCCTGCTCAGCCCAGCACCCGCTGCAGCTGTCGGGGGGCACAGGAGGTGCCCAGGGTGGCTGGAGAGCAATGCCTGGGGCAGGTGTGGCTGGGAAGAAGGGGCTGAGGGGGCGCAAAGGGCTCCAGGATAGCGGGGGTCATTCCCACCCCACTGAGACCCCCCCCTTGCCTTGTCTCGGAGCTGGCCGGGCATCTCCGGCTGCCCCAGCCCCCGCCACGCACCTGTCAGTCTCTACCTGCGCCCCAACGGCCCTGCACAGAAGGGGCGTCCACCGCTACCAGGAGCACAGCACCACCTCCTTGAGGGTCCGCCGGAGCTCCTGGCTGCGGAAGGCGTAGATGAGGGGGTCGATGACGGAGTTGCAGATGATGAGGATGAGGAAGAAGTTGAAGTAGTTGAAGAAGCAGGTGCAGAAGGGGCTGCGGGGGCAGGTGACGATGAGCGTCAGGTGCAGGAAGAAAGGCCCCCAGCAGAGGAAGAAGACGCCCAGCAGGATGGTGAGGGTCACGGCGCCCTTGAGGCTGGCGGCCTGGTAGATGGCACGGCGCTTGTGCTGGCTGGAGATGCGGCGGGCGTGGCGGCGCGCCAGGGCGAACATGTGGATGTAGAGAGCCACCAGCAGCACCAGCATGGCCAGGAAGAAGCCGATGAGGCAGAGGATGACGGCGTCGTTCTTGTAGTAGGCGATGAAGACGGTGCTGGAGACGGTGCTGGCCGCCCAGATGCCGGCGGCGGCACCCACGGCCCGCGGCATGGTGACGATGCTGTGGTAGCGCAGGGCATAGAAGATGGTGATGTAGCGGTCCACGGCGATGGCGCCCAGGAAGGCGAGCGAGGAGACCACGGAGCTGCAGATCAACATGTCGATGACGTTGTCCATGTGCCGCACCACGCCGGCCCGCACCACCAGCACCCCGTGCTCCATCAGCAGCATGAAGAGGGTCTCGGCCAGGTTGCTGACGCTCACCAGCATGTCGGACACGGCCAGGCAGCACACAAAGCAGTACATGGGCGAGTGCAGGTTGCGGTTCTTGGCGATGGCCATCACCACCAGCACGTTCTCCACCAGGCTCACCACGCCGAGCATCAGGAACAGCTCGTTGGGGATGAACACGCCCTGGCACCAGGCGCTGCCTGCGCCTGCCCCTGTGCCATTGCCGCGGCTCCCGGCGCTGCCGTTCAGGGCACCCCACGGTGCTGGCGTGGGAGGCGCCGGCATCGCCGTGGCCGTGGCCGTGGGGCTTCTGCTGGCTGGAGCCGAGCGAAGCCTCGGCCTTGCCTGCGCGCCAGGAAGGAGGCTGTGGGGGATCCCTGGCCAGCAGCCAGCTCCGAACCGGTGCTCAGGCCCCGGCTGAGCTGGAGGTGACGGGGTGGAGCGTGGGGGGCTCCGGTGGGCCCCGGCCAGACCAGCTCCCTGCTGCAGGACTTCAAGGCGACATCCTCAGAAGACCCACCCGGGAGCCGACGAGCCGCTGGCAGAGGCTCCGCTGGGCGTGCCCAGCTGCTCTGCGCTCACGCGGCGTCCCCGGTCTCCCGCGGCCCCCGGCACAGGGGAGCGGAGATGGGGCAGGGTCCCCCAGGCTGCAATCCCCTTCCAGGGCGAGTGGCTGGGGCTGGGCCCAGGCCCTGCAGCAGCCGCACGCCCTGCTGGGGTCTCCGGGCGTCCAGCCCGCCCCGGCCCAGCTGCTGGAGTTATCCGGGGCCCAAAGTAATTGATTAGCAGAAGTTGGCAACAAAGAAAGGAGACTTTCTCTGCCCTGCTTTAAGGCAGCGTGCGGCTCCTCCTTCGGGGGAGGGTGGTCGGCCACATGACAGCGTCGCATGCGGGGGGCGGCCGGCGCGGCAGGGAGGGGATTATGAAACGGCCGCTCGCCCTGGCAGAGCGGGGAGCTTAGCCCGGGGCAGAGCCCGGTGAGGGGGCCTGGTGCCCTCCAGCACAGAGAGGTGAAGACCCCCGAGCACCTGCGCCTGTTGGCTGCTGACCGGGCCAAGCTGGGACCCTCTCTGCCCACGTTGGCCACCTCCACCCTGCAGCCCCGCAGGCCCAAGATCTCCCTCCCGGTGCCCACGGGGTAGGGAAGGGACCCAGCCCTGGACACCAGGGCTCGCTTGGTCCATGGCTGCAGGCCTCATCCCCGCGGAGCACAGTGCCGGTGAGGCCCCTCTGCCCCAACATGTGCTTCCCCCCCTCCAGGAAACCAGTGTCTATAAAAAGATCATTGACGTCCCAGTGATTACATAAACTCCCAGCATTGGTGGCGGGGTGGTCCACTGTCTCAGCTGGATGCCTGTTGATGCCCCGATGCCCATCCCCCAGCCCCCTCCCCTGGTGGCTACATGCACACATGGAGAGAGGGGGGCGGAAAACCTGGGTCCCCGGCATGGCTCTGCAGCCCTGGCCCCTCCTAAGCCATCACCCAGGGCCCAGGGCCACAGCTGGGGATGTGGGGTGCTCCCCACCTCCGTCAGGGCAGAGCCCTTGTGCCTGCTGCAGCACGAGTCAGGGGCCAAACCCGACTGCTCTCAGCAGGCAGCTCCCACCTGGATCTGGCACCTGGCCCTGCTCTTTCCCTGTTGGCGCTGAGGCCAAGAGCAGCCCCCAGCATGGCCAGAGCAGATGGGGAGACAGGGCCCTGTGCTTGGCAGCTCCACATCCCCCTGCATGGGCCTGATCCTCTCCTGCCTCCATCAGCCCAGGGAGCACCCCGCAGCCCCATCCTGCCCGGTGCGCCAGGCAGGCGGGCTCGCTCCACAGGCCCTTCATTCCCTCCACCCCAGCGAGTGGTGGCAGGGGAGGGGCAGGGCCCAGCTGAGTGTCATGTGCCTCTGGGTTCGTGTTGATGCCTCAAGCAGGAGAGCCCAGCTGCTGTTCCTAGCCCCGCTGCTCCCTGCCACCCAGCTGGGGAGCATAGCAGTCATCTCCAGGGGGAGGCAGGGCTGGGTGGATCATAGGGGAAGCAGCAGCAGGGTATTTTTAGCACCCCAACAACCAGCCATTCATCCTGCACCGTGCAGAGCACGCATGCTGCACAGACACATGCCCACGGCTGGGCTCAAAGATGGGGAAAGGATGCCGGATGATGCCCCAGGGTTGGGGCTGCCTCAGCGCTCACACGGGGAGCTAAGGGATGGCAGGACAGATGCTCTGCTCCCAGCTGCACCCACTGTCCCTTGCCTCTGCTCAGGTGGCAGCTGATCTGCAAGGGAGGGGGCAGTGCCCCGAAAGCTGCCGCCACGAGCCCACAGCAAGTCTCCCTCCCCAGCCCTCGCTCTTTCCGCCTCCAAGCACCGCCTCAGCCCCTGCCACATTGCCTGGTTGACAACGCACACAGGTGCCAGCCTTGGTGCAGATGTCATAGCCAGCAGCTTTGGGCAGCTCCTGTGACAAGGGGTGAGGAGCAACTGTGCTGGCAGCAAGGGGCACAGGGCCACAGCAGGGAAGGGAGAGGACATGTGCTCACCACCAAGCGCAGCTTTGCCCCTCCATGGCCTCCTGCCCTCCTGTGCAAACACAGCTTGTGTAACTGCACTGTGTGACGCAGGAGAGGGGGCAGACCTAGGTGTGAATGCAGGGGCCGCCCAAAACAAGGGACTGCCAGCAGCCGGGGCGCTGGAAGCCAAGTGGCGCAGTGACGTACTGCAATAATATTTTTGGCTTTGTGAAAGGGGCCTTTGAGAGCCCGGCTATAAAAAGACCTCAGTCAACAACTTCAAAGGGCAGAAGCAGCATGGCCAGTTACCGCAGGGTACAGGCTGGGCTGCTTGGACCCAGCTCTGCCAAATGAGGGGCTTCACTGGAGCATGCCCCAAAATAGCATAGGGAAAAGGGGTGCAGAAGGGCTGATGCCAGGGAGGGGAGGCACCACCTGGACAGACTCAGACCTTGAGGGCAGGGAGCTGAGAGCTGGCTCCGGCAGCAGCAGCCACTCCCAAGGCCTCATCTCAGTTCGGCACAAGGGTGCAACCAGGCTCCTCCTCAGCTCCCCGCGTCCTCAAACGAGCACAGGAGGGGCCCTGGGGGTGAGGAGCTGGCAGGATTCACAGGCGCCTGTGCAGCTTGTGGGACT